GACATGGGGTCCCCAAGGAGGTATATGGGGTCCCAAAGGGGGATATATGGGCACACAGTAGTATATGGAGGTTCCAAAGAGGGATATATGGGCACACAGAGGGGTATATAGAGACCCAAAGGGGACTATATGTGCACACACAAGCGGTATAACGGGGTCCCAAACGGGGGCTATATGGGGGGGTCTCAAAGTGGGATATATGTGCACACAAGGGGTTATATGGGGTCCCAAAGGGGGGGCATACGGGCTCAGAGGAGGAGATACATGGTCGCACACAGAGGGATATATGTGCACGCACCGGGGCGGGGGGGGTATAGGTAGTCCCAAAGCGGGATATGAGGGCACACAAGGGATATATGGGGTCGCAAAGGGGGAGATACATGGCTATATATAGGGTCCCAAAGGGGAGAATGCAGTCTCATAGACCCCATATACCCAAAGGAGGGGGGGGGGGGGGGTGTTATATGAGGTTCCAAAGGGGGATACGTGTGCACACAAAGGGTACATAGTGTTTCAAAGGAGGGCTATATGGGCACACGGGGGGTATATGGCTCCCAAAGGGGGGGCATATGGAGCCCTAAAGGGGGATATATGGGCACACATGGGGTATATGGGGTCCCAAATATGGGTATATGGGGGTCTCACCAAAGGGGGTTATATGTGCACTAGGGTCTCAAAGGGGACATACGTGTATAGAGGGGGTTATATGTGGTCCGAAAGAGGGATATAGGGGCAGAGATGGGGGTATGTGGGGTCTCAAAGGGGATATATGGGCACACAGGGGGTTATACTGGGTACCAAAAAGGGCTATATGGGGTCTCCAAGGAGGAGATGTGGTCACACCTGGTGATATATGGGGTCTCCAAGGGGGGGAGACATATGGGCAAACAGGGGGTATATGGGGGGTCTCCAAGGGGGATATATGGGCACACAGAGGGTATATGTGGTCTCCAAGGGGGCTATATGGGGCCCCCAAGGGGGTATATGGGGTCCTAAGGGGAGTATATGGGGTCTCCAATGGGGATATATGGGCACACAGGGCATCTGTCAGGTCCCAAAGGGGGAGATATGGGCTCACATGGCATATATGGGGTCTCAGAAGAGGACATACGGACACACAGACTGTATATGGGGGTCCCAAATACGGGTATATGGGGTCTCACAGCAGGGTACGTGTGCCTACAGGTGGTATATGGGGTCTCCAAGGGGGCTATAAGTGCTCACAGGGGGTCTATGGGGTCCCCAAGGGGGTATATGGGGTCCCCAAGGGGGATATAAGGGCTCACAGGGGGTC